GTACCTGTTTCAAGGAATTATACTGCATTGATTGGGATAGATCCACGCGATATGTCGACATCGTAGCCTTCCCATGCATATATTACAAAATTTTTATATTATTTATTAAACACGTTCACTGAATTTTATGAATTAGGTTAGGAATATAGAGGAGGAAATATCAGGATGAATAAGAGAAACGTGCTAGTGGAGAGAAGGGAAAGAAATGGAAATAGAATGTTAATTAAAGAAATAGTGGAGAAAGAAGAAAAAAAGACTACATATGAAAACAATTGTTTTCTATGGTAATATATGTTGATGATACTGTATATTTGTATATTAGTTTTAATAATTGTTCATAGTAATGATTAATAAGTATGCTGTGTCTGTAGCTACTCAAAATAATTGGGCAGAACCTATGAAATAAAGTGATTCTCTCTTAAGGCAATGAAAAACCTCTAGCCTCAGAAGTAATTACTGATTCCCAACGTATTTGTTAGCATCATAACCAGAGTTAGGTACGTTTTCCAAAACATATTTTCTGTGGAAAATTTAAAATGATCACCAAGAAAAAAATATGAGCCTATACAACTTTTCAGCTCTCCATTAAACTGGCAATGACCGGTAAATTTTTTTAATAAAAATTTAGAATGTCCTGCAACATGGTCTGGGTAATTTAAAACGGATTTACCAGTAGGTACTTATTTCCTTACATATGTTTTATTTTTCATGTGTTTTATAACCTTCTAGGAGTGTTAGCTTTCCTTAGGAATCCATCAGGTAGTTCCTAAACTCAGCATAAATAACTGTGCATCGCTGCTGGATTCCATCGAATGATGGAGGAAATTCATACATTAAAAAAAATCGCTGAAGATTAAAAACCCGACGGGTGTCGCTCAGCAAGGACGTGTCTTAAGTTTGTAGAAAGAAACACACATTCCTGCACAATATCATTGTAGGTCTTTCATTCTAAACGCTGCCAGATTTAATTCTTTATGTTTCCATATAGTTAAAGGGTGCCAAAAACAAGAAAAATGGTGCCGAAAACTGCAGCATACTGATAGTTTAACCTTTTCCGTTTCACTATAAAAAAATAAATCAAAGATACTCTTTCACATATATATATAAATTAAAATTACAGATTTTTACTGACTTAACAGAACCGAAATTGTTGAACCATTTATCCGTGCGATTAAAAACGTGACAAACATATTTTAAAGTTTCCTTAGCGGTACCAAAATCTGGGTGTTTTGCCCTAGCTATAATAATTTTGATTTTTTAATTCAATTTGGCAAAAATTTTACTCGACCAATTATGAACCATTCTACTAATTCCTCCAACTTTTAGTTAATTCGTGCAATCTGTTTGTAAAATAGTCCTATCAACGAAAATATGTTTGGGTAAATGTATATGAAATTGGTATTGACTATTTTTTTCACAGATTTCTTTCTTCAATCCTGAGCTTAATCAAACGAGCCGTTTTTTAAATATTGTCGTGTAGTGTCGGTGAATAAAAAGATACGCTGATTTTCATCGATGTTTTCAGAGATGGTCTGATGCAATTGATGTGCTCACCGCTGTGCTTATTAATTTGCTCAGTGTTTATGTAACTTCAATGAATTGCACTTTTAAAAATACAGAAGTACTTTTATAAGTAAAATGGGCAAGTACTCACAGATATATTGAGAAATGCAATGTTTATAAAGTTAGACAGTGTGCAGTGTACTTATGTGGAACGCAAACATCCATATATAATCGTGGACGTGACTTATCTTCAAGGTATTTACATTTATAAATAAATTCGTGTGATGGCAGTTTCCTCATGGCTTATGAAAGTTTTAGTGACATCATCACTGCTGGCATTTTGCAATTAGCAGTGAAAGGAGGAACACGAACATCTTTATCAATCTGAATTCGATTCAACAGTTTGATCGCGTCATTTTCGAATGACAATCGTGTTGCTATGTAAACTCTTAGTTTTTGTTTACAATGTACTTAGTTTTACATTAACAATTTTTTTTTTTTTACACTTAGTAATAGAATGTGGATTTGCACTATCCAAGGTCTTGTGTACGCCCTGTTGAGAATTGTGGCTGTCGATTTCGAATTTCTTTGAGTTTTTGTACATCAAATTAATCTTTCTAATAATAGGTATTTATGAAATTGTGTTACTGCTAGGCTTTGAGGTAAATAGTGATAATAATATATCTACTCCGTCTTCTCATCTAATAAGAAAAAAAAGAACTTTAAAACTGTAGTTAGTGTCATAAGTTCATCGACCTTATAGGTTCATCTAGGTTTTATCACTTTTAAATACCTAAGTTTTTATTTCCGTACATTTTTATGAATTTTGAATATATTATACTTTAATGTCTATTGATTTTAAATAAAGTAGCTGTTATTTTAGAATTAGTAACGCTTCGTTGATTTATGATGTTGGTAATTAACTTTTTATTTGCAGGTGACCTTGTAATTAACGTTATTCAAGTGGATCTGTTTATTTAAGATACATTATTAGCTAGGCTCATAGCTAAATAATATAAGGTTGGTACATCTGTATAAATCACTTATGTTTTACATTTTTAAAAATATTTTATGTTTTAAATTTTATTAATGACTAGTTATACTATAATGTTATCATATTAAGGTAAAGAGCTCATATTTTGGATGCACTAATTTTAGGAACTCTGTATGCTTTGAAAAGAATGTTTTGCATACTTATAGAATTAAAAACTTAAGGCTTTGTAAGAACATGTATGATCCATATGAACATGATGTTGACCATAGATATCAATCAATCAGGAAAACTGTCAGGGATTACTTTTACTCAGGTTTCTATTAATATTATTTGAAGTCAATAAAAATAAAGTACAATTGCTAACTTTTAAGCATATTGAAGGAGACTTAAAAAGGAAATTATCAATAAATTGTCATCTATGTATAATTATTGCCTTTTTCTTGTATTTTCTCATAATATTATTAAAAAATGAAAGAGAATTAAATATACTATTGTTCGTCCAGTAGAAATTCGACCATAGTCATTGAATATTTGAGGAAAACATATAATTAAATAAACATAAATTCAATAAAAAAAGATTAAATCATCATTTAGAAATCCTCATTTATTTAATAAAAACAAAATTTCAATTTCAATTAAAAATCAAGCTTAAACTACTTAAAATTAATTATAAATAATACAAAAATGGACTTATTCCAAAATATTTAATTTCCATTTTGATTTATATATGTATATATTATCATAATTAATTAATGTTATTATTAAAAAATAAATTTAAATTAACAATATAAATTCAGTGTAAACCAATTTATTTAAAACTTCTCTGTAAATAATGTTCTTTTTGAATGTTCTGTTGTTGTTTAGTAAGTAGCCTTTCCCATTGCCATTGGGAATATAAAGTATCAAACTTTTAAACATACGTTCTCAATTTACTTCCACATATAATTGTCCATGCGAAGAAACTGGACGTTGCAGTAATACTCCAATTTTTTCAAATGTTCGTCCCTGCGATTTGTTTATGGTCTAGCAAATTTAGCTATTACTGGGAACTGCGTTCTTTGAAATTCGGATGGAAGTATTGTTCCAGAAAATGTTAAATTAATTCTTAGAATTAAAATTCTTTTATTTACCGCAGCTCCTGTTAATACTTCACTTTCATTTGTGTTTCATTAACTAAATCTTGTGCAGTATTTAAGTTACAAATGAGCATAACTAGAATTTACTTTTAACTTTAATTTATGAAGTGGCATTCCATCAACATGATATCATCTCTTCGAATAATAATCTCGGTTACTTCAGTAAATGTAAAATTTTCGATTTATAAAAAAAAAAAAAATAAAGGAAATCGTGACACAGTCTTTGTCAGATTTTTATGAAACTTGTTTTAATTGATTCTGAGACTATCCTGAAGACATCTGAAAATCATTTTTTGTTCGATCACTTAGTTCATTTATATTTTTAATACACTGTCATTATACTTTTATAGATTTCAGTTTAAAAATATATATATTTTAACACATTATATTATCTGAAACTCCAATTTTAAATCTTGAATCTTGAAAAAGTTCTAACATATTTTTCTTAAAAACTATTTAGCCTTAAATCAGTGAAAAATGATTAAATATCTCTATCTCCCCCCAAAATAATATTGTTTAATAGTATGTTTGTGCAGTGTAGTAGGGATTCTCGATATGGGAAAACCACTTCACCACTAAAAAAAACCTTTTTATTTTATTCTGTTCATTTATCCTAAAATTGGTGTCTTGAGGTTTTATTTTTTACATAAATTAGGCCAATTATCACCAACATTTTATTGATATGCTATTAATTTTGACGTTTCGACCATACTAAGGGTCATTTTCAATTCTGAAAAATTGTAATATCATTATTAGTTAACATTCAACAATTACAAAAAGAATTTCTTATTACACTTAATTAACTTGTCTAACAATCTATGTCATATTATTTTCGATACACATAAATTTATCCAAATCTATACATAAAAGTATATACTTTTTCTTATAAAAAAACCTTACATGTACGTAACTTTAAACATTAAACCTTACATTAAAAATAATTGACTGTTACCTTGATGAGTCCTCCGTTATATATTCATCATTAATGTCGCAAAAAATTTGTTCAGTGAACATTAAATTGTCATGCTCTATAGGGGTTTCGCCTGCGTCATTTCTTTTTTATTTTGTTTAAAAAAAAAATTATTTTTATCGAAATTTTGAATGTCAAGCCATCATTAGGTGATTTGATGGTCCTTGTGAACCTTATAAAAATTTAAATTCTTGAATTGAATTGAAAATATATCATTCAAGAAATGTGTTTTGTTTTACAAAAACCACAACGTCTTGAACTTGAATGAGAAATAGTATTTGTGCAATTTCTGTGAGTTTCTGTGTTGCTTCCATTAGTATTTAGTAATAAAAACAAATAAAATTACTGGTACTGAAATAGTAAAAAACATAATCTGTCTCCATTATCACTACCTAAGCTGGAGCCTCAAACCTGATAGGATGCTCAAATTTATTTTAAAATATTCTTAAATATATAGGATACTTGGTAAATAAGAAATATAATAGATTTTTTAACACGTTAAATTACCATAAAAACAGAAGAATATCCTTTAAAATTAAAAATATGATAATTACTGACCTTGAACAAAATATGTAGTTCAAAATACACATTAAATATTGTGAGCTATTTCTCTCCTTAATTGAAATACTTTTACTACTTTATCTAACAGCTTTCATTTTCATTAACATATTTTTTTATAATAATACGTTCCTCAGATACCATTGGAATGAGATGCGTCTACTAACTGTACTGATGAAGTGTTATAAAGGCACTGTGCATGAATTTTCTTTGTGGAGCTAATAAAAAAAGATGCCGAGGTGGAGAAAAATAATTTTCACATCTTCTTCATTGTAAACAATTTCGACTACTCCAAAATGCTGTCATAATTTAAGTCGCATAGTTATTTGAATATGGTTGAAAACAAACCTTATCAGAAGAAGTTTGATAAGAAAAGATTAGTGCAACGTTATTACTATCAGTTTTTGTCCTAATTTCAGTATTGTCTGAGTGGTTTGAAATCATGAGAATTTCTAGTAATAGTAAAAGTGCGGATTCCTGATAATTGTTTTTTTCTAGTTGCAATAGTAGTGCGAGCCAATTATTTTTTATTTTATTTTATTTTATTTTTTTTTATCAATAAAGTGAAAGTGAATAGTTTAAATGTTCTTTTTAAAAAAGTTGTAAGCAGTTGTTATTATTATAATTTGATCTCCATGTTAAAATCTTCTGTTGAGAGGAACATGTCAGCGCAAGACCCTGAGAAAGCCTTGGTGAGTTAAATAAATTAGCTAATAAGTCATTTTGTATGAGTACTGATATTAAATAATGAATGCTAGGCTTTTAAATTTTTACTCTTGACTATCCTCATTAATACTTTTAAAAGTAATAAGTATATATTGTATAAGTAAGGATGTTTTAAATTTATACGCAGGTTTAAAAAATATAATATTGATATATAGAGGTTTTGTTCTTAGAATTGAACGTTTCCATGTCTATCTGTAGTCGATTCTATGTGACAGGCATAAATAATACCTACCGCACTAATTAGATTTTGAAGTCATTTTCAGTAGAGGTTGAAACTTTCATATAACTTTTTTAAATTTTTATATTTTTTTTTATTTAAGTTTTTAAAAAGAACTTTACTGATTAACTATTAAATTGGAAATAAACAGTAATTAGGCTTAGACTGCGGTTATAATTTCTCTTAAATAAATTACTTGATTATAGTGTATTGATTGTAAATAGACATTTTGACGAAATTTACAGAACTTTTAAAATAAAAGTTTTTCAAAAATAATTGTTCTGTCAAACCTTCGCTTGAAAAGTTGCAAGTGAAAAAGTTTTAGAGATTTTTTTTGTGGTCCCATTTCGGTTTAATAATACTTCATCCATTAATTTTGATTAAATAGTAATAACACGCAATATAACAAAAATCAATGGAAAATTCTCCTATTAACTTAACTAAATCCCCCAAAAAACTAAAAATATTTTAAATATGATTTTTTAGAAATTTATCATACAGGTGTTTATTTTTTTTAAAAAATAATACCAAATTACAATCCCAATTAAGAGCTATTAAAATTTGTTTTAAAAACAAACAAAAAAACTATACTGCTTTTCAATTAAACAATTTTCAGGAATTTAATCAAACATCCAGACTTCCTAAAAAATCATTATTTATTATAATATTTATGTTTGGACAAAATATCTTCGATTTATTTCAAAAAGCCATTAAGTGGTATTTCATAACTTTAAATAATTAAGAACTTTAGAGCGTTTTTCTTTTAAAAATCAGAAAGTTGTACATTTGTTTATTTGATATATAAACTATATTTGATATATAAAAGGAATAGTTTCATTTTCATGCACTTACAGTGTTTTCGCGTCAATAAATAAAGTCAAAATTTACCGAAACATATTTGAAAATTAACCAATATCAAAAATATACTTAGTGACTTTTTGCAATAAACCGATGATATGTCCATTTTCAAGAATTTTTTTTTTTCTTAAACAAAATCCACATTCATATATCACTCCTTATTTACTACTTTATGATATCTACTTCTTACATGTCACAATTTATTAATTCATTTTTATGATCACTATAATATTTTTTGAGCCAAACTTTCTATTCCCTTCTATAAAGAATACATAAAATTTAAATAAACCTAAACGTTAAGTATTCTTTCTGAAAAAAATAAATGAAAATTATGAATAAATTTCAAAAATGAATTAATCATAAATTACGATAGGTATGGAATAAATGGTTTACTAAGGCAGATGTTTCTAGTTTTACCACTATAAATGTTAAATTTTTATTATATATGGGAAATAAGAGGAAATATCTGCTAAATTCAGAAATATACTGATTATGAAAATAAATTTAAAAATTGTGTTCTGTAAGAAATATATAGTATAATCTAGTAAAAGGTAATATTAGAATATGAATTTTGTTCTAGTAAAGGATTCTTGAAAATGGAAATATTTTATCCAAAACATAGATAAATGAATAAATAAATGTTTTTGGCAGTCTGTAGGTTTGATTAAATTACTGAAAATAGTTTAATTGAAAAGCAGTAGCCTTTTTTTTGAACAGACCTCAATAGTTCTTAATTTTGTATTGTGATTAAACATGTTTAAAGGGCAAGTATATATTTTAATTATATAATTACCTAAATATTTAATATTATTTTAAAACAAACAGCATTTGTTTAAAAGATAAAAAACCCATTCCTAAATTAAAAAAAAAATAGATTAAATTTTTTTTCTTGAGGATTAAGTTAAAAAGAGAATTTTTCATTGCTTTCAGTTAAAACGAAAGCCTGGATTTTTATGCAATGGCATATTTTGTTTGCGAGAATTTTTTACACTGTTGATTATATATATTCAGAAATCTGTGTACCCAGATGCTGTTACTCAAAGTTCATATTGCATATTTTTGCAATTTTAATGCAGAACATATCACTTAATAATTCCTAATCCATTGGCGTTTTATTTATTCTGTCAATACTGTAATTTTTTTTTTTTTATTACAAATTGTGAATTTATATTACTAACGATGTACCCCCTGTCTGCCTTACGACAGACCAATCCTCATTTTACAAATTATACAACTGTTCATTTAATTGTACTACTCGCTCAAATTGTATAACTGTAATTTACTTGTAATCTGTACTTCAGTTTGTATTATTTTTTATTACAGTTCGGACAAATTTTTAATTTCTTTAAGAAATCTATATTATACATCATACCTTCTTGCCAATTTAAATTATTATATAATTATAGTTATTCTTATTGCAAATTTGTAATCATAATAAGGGAGAAATAATTCTGGGAATAAGAAATGTGGTGTCTTCGTTACGGTCTTTCCCACTTTATATATATAAAATAAAATATGACTGGCTAAAAACTTTTATATAATAGGAGATTTTAATTTACATAAAGTATTTCACACTTTTCAAGTTTTTAACTATTTAATTTTTAAATCTTCTACTTTCATTTTTAGCTCAGAATTTTTTGTAGGCACATGCATATTGAAAATTACTGCATATTTGGATTTTTTTCGCTCCATATTTTATGTTTCATTATTGCATATTCTAGTGCATAATTGAAGGTTTTTATTGCGTATTATATGGTATATTCAGTGGGGTTTTGCTGCCTCTGGTTTTAGTTTTAACACATAAACTACCATACAAGTTTGATGGTAATATGCATGTTTGTATGCATGTTATGAATTAGGTTAGGAAAAGAGAGGAGAAAATCTAGGGAACGAGAAAAATGTATAGAGTGAGAGAAGGAACAGAAAGGGATGTATAGTGCTAATAAATGAATTAAAGAAATAGTAAAAATAAAATAAATAAATAAAAAAAAAAATAAATAAATAAAAATATAGGAAAAAAAATTATGATAAAAAAAAATATATATATATAGATAAAAAAAAAAATTGTATATTATGCTCATATATGTTGTTAATACTATATAATTGTATATTAGTTTTGGAAAATTGTCTGTAGCGATTAATAAGTATGCTGTGTTTAAAGCAACCCAATGTAATTGGGCAGCACCCTTTTATGATAATAAAGTGATTCTCTCTTAGTTTTGAAGAAAAGCATTTTTAAAATTGTGAGTGCCCGTCATAGGGACTAAATAAAAAACTAAAAAATTACAAAACAAACATAATAGTCCGTAGTACAGACCCATTTTTATTAAATTATTAACATCCCCCTGAAACTTTGTGAATAGCTTCATAACATTGTAACCTACAACTATTCTATTTACTAAAACTCTTGGAATTGGGATGTTTTCAATCTGAAGGGGAGCAAACTTTGTCTATTTAATCATGTACTAAAAACTCGTAAATACCCATTTTCTTCCTATTTGGATTGTAAGATAATTTGATCACAAAATCGATAAAAAAGATGGCCTACAAAAATATTGGACCGTTTGTCCTATATAACCTCGTTATTTTGAAAATTTGGGGATGTAGGTCACGCCAAACGGCTCAATATTTTCGAAGGCCACCTTTTTTCTCAATTTTGTGATCAAATTATGCTATGATCACAACGATCGAGGAACAATTACCTCAAGAAACAATTAAACAATTGTACGATTCATTACCAAACAGAATCTTTGAATGGATAAATGGTGGTGGAAAGGTCACGAAGTATTAAAATGAGTTTTATTTATTTTTACCACGGAGCGTGTCTAACATTTTGACGGACCTTAACTTTAATTTGAATAATGAAAAAAAATATAAATATTTGTTACTTGAGAACCAAAATACAAGCAGGCTTTTACTTTTTATTTACTTCAAATTCGTGTTAGATTATTTTAATACTGTTTTACGGGTAATTTGAAAAGATGGGAGGGTAGGGATAGCAATATTTAAAGTGTGCCTAACATTTTGACACTGACTGTATCTGCTCCATTAAGTGTTGATAAGGTTTTATAAGTGAACCACTTATAATTTCTTATCAGTTTATCAGGTGTGTAGCTTGTGTTTGTTAGTTTTACATAATAAAAATGATTAATAGGTCAGTTTTATAAACAAAAAAAAATACAATTTTTCATACTTTAGCTTTGTTTCATTACTTATGTTTTGAAAACAACCTAATTGTTTCTTGTTTAATAATTTTATAAAGTTTTTTTGTGGCAAATAATTTTTTTTGACCAAATTAAAAAAAATATATAATTTTTTATTGGTCAAATTAAAAAAATCAAATAATTTTTTGAATATTTCAATATTTCAGGATCCTAATCGCATCTTAAGTATTACTTTTTTAATTCTGTTAAAAAATTAGCATTGATTATAGAAAAGTAAAATATTTCTTAAGCTTTGTTCGTGAAAATTGTTAGTAATGTCTCAATGGAATTGGTCGTATACGGTGTATAATGTGTTACGGTGTATCGTATAAGTTGTTTTATTTATTTTATTATTATTCGGCTTTAATCTGTTATTTTACTTATCTTGTATATTGCTTTATCTTTTTATTGTTATATACATCGTTTTTTTTTTTGTTTTTTTTTCTTTCTCTTCTTACTTGGTTATTTTTATTTATTTTCCTTTCTTATGTACATATTGTGTGAATGAATACTATAACCCTAGAACCAATGCCCTTCAGTATGGCAGACTGTATTAATACTCAATAAAAAAAAAAAAAAATATATATATATATATATATAAATTTTAATGTTAATTATTTTTCTTTTCAACAAAAATGTACTATTTTTCATAAAAATGTCTTCATTAATTTTTTTGTTTGACTACTCTCTTTGATACCATGTCACTTTCACAAACAGTGATGAAATATTTAGATCTTATGTTTGAATGCTTGCAATTTTTTTCATTTTGATTTTTATCTCTACACGATTTTATAACTCTGAATTTGTTAATAACTTACCTAAATATCATGTGCTTGAATATTAAATAAAAACATGTTTAGATTATGTATTAAGATTTCTGCTTTCTTTGTGAAATCAGTTTCCAAAAATTTATCAACACCTTCTTCGATGAAGTGAAAATTCAAGTTGAGAAACTCCAAGCATCTCAGGATAATTTTTTTTTTCTCATAATTAGGGATTATATTTTCAAATAAAATGAAAATTAAATATTTACACTATTTCATTTAGGTAGATCCATTTTCCAGCTATCAGGAGCAATGAATTTTGATGAATGGATATAAAACGAAAGGGAATTTTTGCAGAAGTCCCTAATCCCAATTCCAACACTTAAAATCTTATTACAAAAATGAAATGAAAGTTTTTGAAATTACCAGAAATAATTAGGCTTTATCTTCTAAATGGTAAATTTTAGGGTCTTAAAACAGGCTTTACTGGTTATCTCGTTGAAATCTTCAAAACACAATTTACCCGATCTCCATCTGTCAACTTAACACCTTTGGAGTTATGAAACATCCTACTTTAATTAAAATTGGGACACAAATTTAAGGATCGAAATTAAAATTTGACACCTTGTTTTTCAAAATGTATCACTTTGAGGCAGAAAAGGGATCTATTCTATTATAATATATAAAAATAATATGATGATATTATATCATATATTTAGATGATAAATATTCGAAAAATCATTATTTTTAACATTTTCTTTTTTAAATGAAATTCTATATATGAATTTATGTTTATTATAATACATTCTAGGTAATATAAACAAGAAAAAAAAAAGAAAGCTTTGCAATAATTTATTATAGTAATTTTTGCTGAAAACACGTTGATTAATTTTTTTTTTAATTACTTAAATTTTGAAGGGGAGTTATTATTATTATTTTTTTCTTAGTCGGTTACAAAGGTGTGTATTATAGAAAATAATAAACCAAAAAATAATTTAAAAAATGCGATATATTAACTATTAGTGCTCGTGGGCGGGGTAGCCGAATGGGCTAAAGCGTGTGCACTGCACCGCCGTTGCCTGGCAACCTGACATATGAATTAAAGATATAAAAATAGTCACGAGTTCGCGTCCCGGTGCCGAGGGAGTCTTTTAAATCCCCGCCCACACTCCCTGGCCCGGGAAAATCCCGTATAGCCTTAACGGCGAGGAAGGGAAGGACCAAAAAAAAAAAAAATAATAAAAATAAAACTATCAGTGCTCTGATTTTGTTGACTTTTTTTTTTTTATTTTTTAGGAAATTTAAAAACCTTTGAAAAATATAAAAAACTGTATACTTTTCGAGTTATTCGAAAATCTAATTTTACCACCCGTAGTAACTTTTTTTCAAGCTTCTCTTCAGTGAAGTATGTTATATAGGAAAATTTAGAGGGCTTCCAAAGCCCTCTAAATTTGCTCCCTCCCCCCTAAGGATGCCCTTCAACATTGATACTAAATCTTTTTTAATATAAATATAAATATAATTTTTTTAAGGCGGGTACTTTTAATGACTGGTTAAAAAATCACTTCATTTTTTTACACAATTTGAGATGAATCTCAACTTATATCATAATAGATTTACACATAATTAATATAATGATGTAGAGATGGTTGACCTTGATATAATATGAGAAGGAGTTGATCGGGGGTGTCAAATAAATACTAGATTATACAAATAATTTAATTATATAAATTAAATAAATTATACTATTTGTGTAATTTAGTATTTATTTGACCGCACCCCCCCTCTCGCCCCTCCCAATCAACTCCTCATAATTAATATAGACGTCAAGCTTATGAAACAAGGAAGTTTCTCTAAAAATGGGATATCTTTAGTATAGTTGTAGAATGATAAAAAAAAAAAAATTGTCAATAATTTATGATTTTTTGAAAAAAAAAAACTTACCTTAGTTTATTCGGTCGAAAGTCCTTTTTAAATGGTTTTAACAATGACTGACTCCGCTTTCATTTGAAGTAAATTTTGTCTAATAAAGCAATTGTGAATTACTTAAATTGTATACTTTTTTTTTTTAATTTTTCACTTTCTATTCATAAAATAACGGGTCACTTAAAAAAATTCAAAACTTAAATTTTTTACTTTTCTGCAGAACCGTTGTTTATATAGATCTTTTTGTAGTTCTTGAGGTCTGTTACCACCCCTTTAAATATTTCCTTCTTCTTACGCGACGACACTCTGTATAATATAGTTATGTATTAATATAGTTATGTATTAATTTTAAAATGTATTCTGTTCGCAGGATAATTTAATGACTGATGAACCACCTGAGACTGACAACAAAGAAATGACAACAAGACCAGACGCTCGCACCGCTCGTCTCCTCAAGGTGACCAGCCTGGTTACCTTAACTCTACAGAATGCTGTCCTCGGCCTCAGTATGCGCTATTCCCGCACAAGGGAAGGCCCTATGTTCGTTTCGTCTACTGCCGTAGTTATGGCCGAATGGGTGAAATTAGTCGTTTGCCTGTTCTTGGTTTATCATCAGCATGAAAGCTTTAGGGCTTTCAGGAAGGATCTCTATCGCACTGTCATCGCTAATCCGATGGATACCATTAAAGTCTCTGTTCCATCGTTTGTCTACATCTTACAGAATAATCTATTATACGTATCAGCTTCACATTTAGATGCTGCCACTTATCAGGTATTTTTTTTTAAACTATTGATTTCCTAAAATTAATTATTGTATTTATTTTTCTTGTTTATGCTGCTATAAATTTCAAAATAGAATGTCTGTTATATCCTCACATGATTTTCCTACCACTTCGGGCGTTGCAATATAAATAGATGGCAATATCTCTGTACCAAATTGTCTAATTTCAATATTTTTTTTGGTACTTTTTGTCTAGTAGGCCGGCACTGACTGCTACCTGCCAATGTTTATAACCTCAATACTGATAATTCCCATAACGCATTGATAAGCCTTCTCCTACTTCATATCTTCGTATTATTGTATTAAATTCGTATTACTGAAAGTGTAAACAGATACAAAAACAAATGTAATAACAAAAAAAAAATACTTTTATTTTATGACACATATATTAATGAAATAATAAAAAAAACACTTAAAAAAGATATAAAACATCAAAATGAAATAATAAAAAAACATTTAAAGAACATATTTACATAGAAAAGAAAAAAAATATCAACACTATAAACAACATATACACAATTTATTTTCACTTTGTGTTATTTATTTTGGAAGGAAAAATTGTTTTATGCTATTTAAAATAGTGAGGAACGGGTCCTCTTCTCTGTAAACCCGCCGCCACAAAAATTTGCAAATGAAAAATAAACACAAAGGGACCTTAAACTAAAAAAAAATGAAAAATAAACACAAACGGGCCAAAAGTAAAGAATTTAATAAGTGAACGTAATAAGGGAATAACTGAAAACTAAACAATGGAGTAACTCAAAGGTTTGGTGGGATAAGAAGAGGGAGGTTATGTGACGTGACATTAGATAAGATAGATAAGAAGTGAGATTTTGTGCCGGCCCGCTAGACAAAAAGTATCTTTTTTTTATTTGTGGAAAATTTTGTGAACCATCAAACAAGTATATACAAATTTACCTAAAAATGCATACTTTTTGAGTTATTTGTAAATCTAATTTTTACATACCATCTAACTTTATAAATAAATTTAAAGGATTTCTAGAATACCTTAGCCAAGTTTTGTTAAAATCATCACATCTGTTTAGACGCTACAGTCTATAGGGACAGGTTTTTCAGCTGCCATTTTGAAAGAAACATTTTTTTTTGTTGGATTTAAGTGTTGTATGTATCGTTAAATGTAAAATCTCAAGGTATAAAGTATGAAAACTCTTCTCTTCTGTATATGTCAATTTATTCTGTCCAACTTTTCGGACCCCGAAAAAAAAAAAAAAAGGCAAATGTTAATAACATACATTATTAGAACAGGAGATAAGTAAAAAAAATTAAGTAGGTAAATGAAAAATGAATTTTAAATACATTTTAAACAAATATATGCAAACATAAGAAAAAAATTGTAACAAGAGAGAAGTACATCAACATTGCACAGCTGTTCAACTCTGTCGATTTGCTAAGTAACACAGCATATTCATCAATCAAAAGATAATACTGTATAAAAATATAAGAGAGAATTAATTCGGACCATTGGAATACATCTCAGACATGCCAAGAACTGTTCATGTAATCAAATAAGAAGGCCTAGATCAATATATGTGGTGATGGAGGATTCCTAACGAGTTTAAAATAATTGTTTCTGTCATCATAGTCTGCATTTGCTCCGTTCCACCACCGAGACTCTGCTAGATATTACTTGTATTAAGAGGGATCCTTCCCCTGCTTCTGAACCATAGCCCTTTAACTAAGTATTTTCTCTCGCTAAATTTATCTCTGTACTTTTCCTCTTCAGATCTTGTACTTCAGGTAAGGTATGCGTTTCGTATAGATTTCTTCTTTCTCTGCCTGTACCTTGTCGTCCTGATCCTGATCGTTGGTTTCCAATCTGAACATGGAATCCACTATGAGTGCCTCCTTTTCCGTCACAATGAACGCCAAGATGCAAATGAACCTTGTTGAGCCCTCTTTATCCATCTTCAAGGAAACATTTATAGTTTTTTATTTTAAGGAGTTCGGCTTCATATTATTATGCCGAAGATTGTCTTGGAGGATGTTATGCGGATAATTGCCCAACACATGAGCTGGGGTTTCTGAATCTCGGCCACATTGGCGGCAGAGTGGTCCAACATCTCCGTTAACCTGGCTTCTGGGCCCCTGGTACTCCACAGATTACGTTTAATTTCATAGCGTTAGTCCATTCTGTGCCGGTGAGAACTTTTCTATCATTAATAAATTTATTGGTCCACGGATTAGATTTAAAATGGGACACACCAATGCCCTGCCATTTGCACTTGCTCCACTCATCAAAGGACTTTTTCCCCAGGGACTGTCTTACCATCCTAACTGTTAGCAATGGTTCCATTTTCACTCACTTCGATCCCTAATAGATCAGCTCAAATCCTTATTTCATGCCTGAAATAAAACATCCTCTGAAACAGGGCATCTGTTAATTAGCCAGCTTATGGAAAATAGATTAGTGCTGAAGAGGAGCCTTGACACCTCAACAGACCCAAGGCTCTATATTGCCGTGGTGCATATATCATCGTTGAGCAAGTGCTGGCCGGTAAACCTGCCATCGCCTTAATACTTCTTCGTAGTATAATGTCTATAGATTCCAAGAGCGATGGGGGCAACTTCGCCAATGGTGCCGTTTGCTGTGGGTATATTTGAGAAGGGAAGACATATCCGTTGATCATATTGATCTGTTCTGGCTTAAGAAGATTCGAACTTACCAATTTTTCCATATTTCTAGTTATTTTAGCCACAGAACCATCATCGAACTCTAGAACCCAGAGAACTGAAAACCAATGTGTTTAATAGTGTCTCCCTTTTAATAACCTTATGATGTTCTAACAGTGAAAGGTAATGTCACTGAAGATGGACAAAGAGATTAAAGTGTTGGAAAGAATATATTGAAATATATGGAAGAGAAAACTTTTCATGCTTTATACCTAAAATAACACAAACATCTTTCTTAAGTAAATTATAAACATTAAATAATATAAGAAGTAAAATTATTATTGAAAATAATAAACCAAAATGTATTTTAACATTGGCCTGATTAAGATTTTTTTTTTTTTATGTTTAGCTATTCAAACATTTAAATTATTTCTGGAATGTTATTTATGTGTAGTTTTCAAGTTCAACAAAAAATAAAACATAGGAGTATCTTTCAGTTCCTTTTTAGGTAACCCAAATTAAAGATACTGTCTTTCAGGCAGTTTTAATTGACACCAAAATTAATTTTCTATAATTATTGATTTTTGTTATCAGTGATTTACAATATAAATTATTATTAAAAGTATAATCCTTACAGGATAATATTTAATAAGTACAAATATAACTGACACTTATTATATTGTAATACTGCGGCGGTCAAAATTAGTAATTTCATCACCACTATTCTCAGAGCAGTATATTCAACTTTGGTCGTGTGATAGTTCAGATTCCAGGTGCTGTAAAGTTTATTAAATCTGTATAAATTTAAATAATTGTTGATTTAGTTTCAACCATTCCAAAGTTGACAGGATCGGAGGATGAGCGGCTTGTAGAGTTGTTTCCTATCCACCCATTTCCATAGGAACATAAACAATAAAGATTTATTGCTAATAATAAGTATTATAAATTATAATTAGCGATTACTGTTAATAATTTTTAATTAATATTTAATTTTTTAAGAAAATAAATTAAACCATTTCCAATTAATTTTTTTTTTTTGAAAATTCTTTTCTTTCTAATTTTTATACTCACACTTACCTTAATGTAAGACCAAGTTTTTCTACTGGTGTTGTGGATATTTTCTCCCTATTGCAAGCATGATTAGGCAAATCATCGTTTTATAATGATCAAGAAGAAACTATATTAGAACTGTTCTCGTATAAATATAAAACATTGCTTGAATTTAAAATTTATATTTAAATCATCCACTAAATGATTTTGAATTAACAACTGAACAACTCCTTTGATTATATTTCACTGACGGGATTTCTTTTGTAACTAACTATTGGGTAACAGTCAATGCTGTCTTCTCTTTCTTCAATATCATTAAAGCTTTATATAATTAGGTTAGGACAAAACAGTTCAGTACCTTTTTCCTCTCTGGTTGTCAATCGATTTTATTTTGTTTAGTTGCTATTGATGAGCTTTAGTGTTATCAATAAAAGAAAACATTAGAAACAGTGTATATAAATAAAGATATTAGTAATAATTAATTAATTAATTAATAAATAATAATAAATATTAGTTTGTACAAAACCGCTGAAGAACTCTGAATTATTTCACCAACTACTTTGAAATTTTGATATATTGCGATCATATTATATTTTAAGTATTCTCAAACTTCTGTTGTTTTGAATTCTTTCCGTCCTAAGGGAATGCAGCTTGGTAGATTGTTAGTAAAATTGATGGCTTCGATTACTAAAATACGTTATAATATTAGGGTGCCTTCTGCTGCTCACAATAATTCCTGGTAAGTAAATTTCGTTCCATGTATCGGTGCAAGTAATAATGCAAATAGTGCAAGTAATAATAAAGTGTAATAAAACAAAAAGCATTAGAAACAGTGTATATAAATAAATATATTAGTAATAATTAATTAATTAATAATAATAAATATTTGTTTGTACAAAACTGCTGAAGAACTCTGAACTATCTCCTTAACTACTTTGAAACTTTGATATATTGCGATCATATTATACTTTATGTATTCTCAAACTCCTGTTGTTTTGAATCCTTTGCATCCTAAGGGATTGCAGCTTGGTAGATCTGAAAGAATTTTCTGAGAAGGAGTTAGTCGAGGGTGCGGTCAAATAAATAAAAAATTAAAATATATTAATTATTTTAATTTTTGCCGATGTTTCGACCCACTTTGCAGGTCGTCTTCAGGGCGTAGGATGTGGCACTGCGGGAGGCAGTTGAAACACTGCCAACAGTGTTTCAACAGTGTGCCAACAGAAACGTCGGCAAAAATTAAAATAATTAATATATTTTAATTTTTTATTTATTTGACCGCACCCTCGACTAACTCCTTCTCATATTATATCAACGGTCAACCATCTTTACATCATTATGAAAGAATTTTCATTTTCTTTCGGGGTCAAAAGGCACACTATCAGTAAACTATGTTTAAATATTTGTTAATATCAATTTCTGTAACAATCAACCAATGTGTTTAAGTAGATACTCTATTAAACTCCCTTAGAAAGGATATAATTTCTCGATTTTTGTAGTTTTTTTTTTTTAAATTAAAATATATTGACAAATTTTAATAGTAACCAAAGACTGGGTAAAAGTTTTATAAAATTAATATGTATGAATATTTATTACTAAAAACCTCTAACAATCAGTAAATTAACGAACAGATGTAGAATATCTAAACACTTTTCAGAGGTATTTTTTATGTATATTTCATTATCATCCAGTCTTATGTTTTGACTTGGTGGCCGAAAAACTTGTGTATCTATTGACTGCAGGATCAAAATGGCTGTAAAGATTTTAATGAAACTTAGCTAAGTCTTCTCCTTGAAACCCTTTTAACTTATGTATATAACATACTATCCCGAAAAGAGGCTAAAAAAAGTAATGATGATTTCAGAATTTTAATAACTCAAAAAGTACACTAACAGAAGTATTGAACTGTTTTGTATTTGAAGTAAATATAAAAATGTATGTTCTTGTGTATATGCAATGAATGAATGTATAGGATTAGATATAAAAAAAAAAGTTTGAAACATGCCAGTTGATATATTTTTCCTCAAATTTTCAATAATGATAATGGTTGACTATCGACCACTCTGAGAACACTACAGACTACTATTATTATTACTACACACTAAAACACTACTATTGGTAATAATTCTAGTTTCATTTTCCTAGTTACTGATTTTTTTTATCTTTTCACAATCACTTTAAACTAACAAATGAAAGAATGACGTGACTGCATACTTTTCCTAAGAAAACATTCTAAAGACCTAAAACAGTTGGTTCTGAGAATTTAGCAGTGTACACACGGTCCATTCAATATTTCCTAAACGTTGCTAGGAAAATTAAAAATGGTACAATGTAATCTGTCTTCAGTGATTTTGCTGTGCTGTTGAAACCTTTTTTTTTTTTTTTTAGGTCACTTACCAACTGAAGATTCTAACTACTGCTCTGTTTGCAGTGCTAATGTTAAAACGTAAACTGTTGCCGACACAGTGGGGTGCACTCATACTCTTAGTTGCAGGAGTGGCAATGGTCCAGATCTCTGGCTCATCAGAAGCATCGAAACCGAGTACAGACGGCCCTGCTCAGAATAGGCTCATCGGATTCGCGGCCGCACTCGGGGCTTGCTTTCTATCGGGTTTTGCTGGAATCTATTTCGAAAAGATCTTGAAAGGCTCCGACATTTCTGTTTGGATGAGGAACGTTCAACTCAGCCTTCTATCGCTGCCTTTCGGCTTCATGACATGCCTTATCTCCGATTGGAACAAAGTTGTGCACATGGGTTGGTTCTATGGTTACGACTACTTCATCGCATATCTGATTGTATTACAGGCTGCTGGGGGTATGGTTGTAGCTCTGGTCGTCAAGTATGCAGATAATATTCTCAAGGGCTTCGCGACATCCCTCGCTATAATAATCAGCTGTTTAGCATCTGTGTACTTATTCAACTTTAGGATAACTATATTATTTACCATAGGTGCTATGCTGGTCATCGGATCGATATTTCTGTATAGTAAACCAGGCAAAGTTGAAAAACCACCCGTGAAGTCAAAAATTAATGAAGACGTATAATAAAAAAAGAATCTCCATAGTGATTGTGGACATTAATTATAATCAGTTGATATAAACATGAAATAAGACTGTATTTATCAATATTCAATTTTAATATTGATAATTTTATTATACGATTGTGATGTATATATTTATAATCTTCAGTCTTCTGATATATAAATTATGTTATAAATACTGTCATAGTTATCACTATAATTAAAATATCAGGTGATACTTTAATTATCTACTGATGCATTAGCATAACGTATTTATTTATTTTTTTGCTTTTCGGTTTGATGTTTCTTTTGTACTGTTAATTTTGTTGTTTTTTCTTTATACTTCCTCCTCTAGTGTTATTAATATTTATTCATATTTGTTATTATTAGTAATTAAAGTAATTTTTACTTTGAAAGAAGGTAAACCATTATTACACAGGCAGTGCACCTTGTAACTTGGAATATATCAAATTTAGAAATAAATGACCTGTTACAGCTAACAACGTTTGTTTAATGGGGTTACATTATTTTGCGGTATATTAAATTGATATATGTATTAGGTCTCATGTTCGTGGTCTGTAAGTATGGATATGTTAAAAAGAAACATATCCATTCGGTCAAACTTCGGAGTGAATCACAACTCCGTGGCATGCTTCCTTCCCTAATTTAACTGTTCCTTTCACTCGCACTGAATGTTCCTTCAAAAAATGAGGAACTGTATTTCCTACACTACTATATAATTAATAATAATAATAATGCTTAGCGAACCCGAAGGTTCGATGCCAATATCACCAATCGATGTCTGCATTCATCCTTCTACCGGGTGCCCAAACTCAGGAATTTGTATTATAGGTAAAAATTATGAGTGATAATTAACATAATCAATTTAATTACTGTAAAATGATCAATATAATACTATATATAGCAATAAATTGATACATATGTTTGTATATTGGACTTATAATTGTTTATTGCTTTTTTGAATATTTATTTGAAAATATGGTAGCAAAGGTATTACATATTTTATTTTTTTCCTGGGAAGTTGTCAATTTATTAAGTTGCTTGGCAATAATAACTTCCAATTATTAACAATACGAGTATATTTTTAACATATATTTAACCTTTTATTCCCATCTTCAGAACTGCAATTCCAATACTCTTGTGGATGCAAGGCTTAATTCTAATGATTATAATAATGTGCTCCATCGTCAATTTTCTAATTTATGTTCTAAATTTTATCATGCTTTAGGCAGAAACCCAATTATTGGTCAAAAGGAGAATGTTGCTCTAGATGATAAAATTTAGAACATAAATTAGAAAATTGACGATGGAGCAAATTATTATAATCATTAGAATTAAGCCTTGCATCCACAAGAGTATTGGAATTGCAGTTCTGAAGATGGGAATAAAAGGTCCCGAAACGTAAACTAGACTGTAACATGTAATGTTAAAAATATACTCGTATTGTTAATAATTGGAAGTTTGTTTGTTTGTTTGTTTCGATGTCTAGTCGCAAAACATCCAGGTCATAAGCGCCCGATCAACTAAATAACATCATTTAATACTACTTGGATGATTGGTACAAAAAAAATAAAAAATAAAGAAATAAAGAAATAAAATAAAATAAAATAAATAAAGAAATGGATTGATAGAATAAAATAAATAAATAAGGATAATAATAGACATTTATAGGTAATGAGATGTATAAAAAATGTATAAATAAATAAACTTTAAAAAATAGCAGTAGAATCAATAAATGAACTGAGATTAATAAACAAATGAATTTAAAATGAAATGAAATCAAGTGAAAAAAAAAAAATAATAATAAGAGAAAATATAATAAAAATAAATAGATAAAAAGAAAATTAATAAAAAAAAAAATAATAAATAAAAAAAAGGCCTGTCAAATGTGTTTTTTAAGTCTTTCACTATCCAGAAACTTGATGACTTTGGTAACTATTTCTTCTTGATTTCCCAGGGATGCTGATATATTCTGGGGTATTCCAAAATCTTTTAATCTTGCGGTGTAAAAAGGGCATTCTTCCTTAATATGTTTTATAGTTAGTGATTGGTTACACTTTTGACATCGGGAGATAGAATCTTTTGTTATGAGGTGGAGGTGAGTCAGTCTAGTATGTACGATCCTCAGCCGCGTGAGGACGACCTCTTCTCTACGACTGCTGCGTCTGGAGCTGGTCCACGTACAATTGGAAGTTATTATTGCCAAGCAACTTAATTACATATTTTATTTTTATTTAAAGGTTTGAAGTAGTGAGATGAATTCTCAGTTCTTCTACGTGATAAGATCTTCACATAAAAATGGAAGGGTACACATAAATTAATCTTAAAATTGTAAGATATGCTGCTATCTTTAAATATAAACTAAAATTTCGGTAATGGGAACATAGGTCGTGGTAAAATACTTGCATACATACTTCAAGGCTTTAGCTTAGTCATCTAGTCGACTTTTCTTATTTTCTTAATTGATTTCAGTTTACAGATTTTATTAATTAATGTAGATTAATTGTTGTTGATTTTGATTTTATTTTTGTTCTTCAAAATATTGGGGAGATGAAATGATATTCTTGCCTCCTCTCTATTTTTATAAAGGGGGAAGGCGATAGTCACTCGTACCCCATCCACTGTAGTCTGCGTCTATGCTAGGAGCTACTGACCATTTCATTTAACTGAAGGACTTAAAGCTAACCATTTAAAATTTTAGATAAACCTCATTTGAACACACCTCTTGATCAGCCGTTGCTTTATGTACAAAAATTTACATTAAAGTGACAAAATTTGACTTTTCATTTAATTGAACAAGAGAGGGCTGAAATTTTGATGTGATGTAAAGAATCTATCCCTAAAAGAGAATTCGCCTTAACTGACGATGTACTCGATTGCATTTTGCTTCTGACTGTTGGTGCAACATTGAAAAATATTTTATTTTATTTTTTGCAATTTAATATTTTTTTATGTATCGTTTAGATTTATTCGAAATTAAGCACATTTATCGTTATAATGAAGTTGTTATTGCTTTACGTACTTAGCAAATACAGGGGTGCCCAGAAGTGAGTTTCAAAATTTTTGAGGGAGTACATTTTTTCGGTGATATGAATTTTCAGAATCGAAAGTTCTACACTGAGGTACGAGGGGGAAAAATGGAACAAACGGCAGAAAGTGTAATTGTATATTATTACAAACTTTTCTAATTCTGTATTTGCTTGCTCTGTTTTTAAGAAAATATGAGCAATAAAATATCTTGGGAGTGGGAGGCATAGATTCTTGCACCTTTAACCTTGGGCATCCCTGCGCAACTGTAAGGACGAAGTTAATACCTGAAGCAGACAGGATTTACTTCAGCTCCTCCTGTTTGCGCTACTTATCTATAATCAGTATTATATCTATATATCCAGGTGCAACCATTTTACCAAAATTCGTGAGTTAATTCCAATAAATTAACATGCTGCAGATATAAACATATTTTCTTTATTTTAAAAATGTGTAAAAATTCTATATAATTATTGTGAAACGAACCAATATAATATTTAAAATTAATTTGTTTATATGTTTGTCCCGGAAAATGTGATAAGAATATAGTTGTAAGGATTTTTGTTCATTTTGTTTTATTTATTATGTATACTTGAAAATATCTAAAATAATATAATTGAATATAACGTATTTGTACAGCCTTCGTAACAGTGGTAAAAAAGTGAAAAATATCTTTGATTTCTCAGTGTGTAAAACTTTGAATAAAAAATACGTTTTTCTCAGTCCAACTATTGTCATGGAAAATGTGATAAGAATATCACATGACAATTGAGGGAGGATAGAATGATAAATCCTAGAATATGTTGATATATATTTATTATCTTTGAATATAAATGGCAATTTAAATCAAAGTAACATTTAACAAAAATAATTACATTCCTACCACTAGGCCCTAGCTTAGTCAGCTAGTTGACTTTTCTCAATCGATTTTAGTTTAAACATTTTATTCATTTATCTAGCTTATTTATTATTGATTTTAAACCTTTTTATCTTGTATTGGAGGAGGGAACGAAACGATATTCTCGTACCCCAAACATTATATTTGTGAAGGGACGGAGAAGTCTGAGCCTATGATCTATGGTGACCTAAGGAACTATTCTCCTCTACCTACTTTTTCAATAGGTTTTTAGTTTGTCGAAGACTAACATAAAAAGATATTTTTTAATCTTTAAAACCTAAACATATGCTATTGAAGGAAATTAGTCGACTATTCTACATACCATGGGTGATGAATATTCAGGACGCAGTCATTATAAAGATTTTATTGGTACCGACGTTTCAAGCACTGAAGGTATTCAAATACTAAATATATGCTATTGAAGGAAGTTTGTCGAGTTTTCTACATACCATGGGTGATGAATATTCAGTACGCAGTCATTATAAACATTTTATTGGTTGGCGACATTTTAACCCAAACATATGGGTCATCATCAGGAGGTGTTTCAAGCATTGATGATGACCCAAATGTTTGGCTTGAAACGTCGGTACCAATAAAATCTTTATAATGACTGCGTCCTGAATATTCATCACCTATGATATGTAGAACAGTCAACTAATTTCCTTCAATAGCATATGTTTAGGTTTTAAAAATTAAAAAATATCTTTTTATGTTAGTCTTCGACAAACTAAAAATATATTGAAAAAGTAGAGAGAGGAGAATAGTTCCATAGGTCACCTCAGATCATAGGCTCAGACTTCTCCCTCCCCTCAAAAATATAATGTTTTGGGGATAAGAATATCGTCACATCTAAACATATGCTAAATAACCATGGCAACCATAGAACCTAAAAGACATTTGGCCATAATTACGATTAATTTGAAAATAGGACATTATTGGGCTTTTATAATGTGGTGCTTGATTGTTCCTTTGGAGCTATATAGGATCTTGATGACCGTGTCAAAATCTTTAAAATAAAATTTATTTAATCTCGATTCGTTAATCTTGAGACCATCTGAGTTTTGGAATCTTCCAATTTTTCAATAATTTTATTAAAGTTATTGAAGGATCAAAATTGGAATTCATCATTTCTCTATGAAATTCTGTTTCGTTCGACATCTCATTCATCAATATATATTGCTATTGAGAGCCAGAAATAGTGTATATTTATAGTGTATATTGTCGTATATAATAATAATAATAATAATTATAGTACTTTACTTATTATGGGACAAGTCCCTTTAGAATAAACCACAGAAACCGAAATGTGGGCTTTGGAGCCTCAGAAAATTTTCACAAAAAAATAAAACAAATAGATAAATATAATAAATTTAAAAAAGTATATTTTGCCTTCTAAGTTCATCAATTATAAAAAAATAAAAATTTTAAAATGAGCTTGTAATTTGCAATATCTATCTACAATTTTATGTGGACTGAATAGGAGGTGATTGGATAGGCGAGATTTAAAGGTGGGGAGAGTATTAGAGCTATAGATGCAGGGAGAGATAGAATTTCAACGAGGATCCAATAATGAAAAATCTGTTGTATGCAGCAGTTCGGTGGGCCCCTATATACAAATCTGAAGACCGGGAACGGGTTTCGTGGGAGTAGACAGAAGATTTGGGACAGTGGGATCGGATGACTTAGAAGAGGAAGGAAGCTAGGAAGTACTTACGGTGGTAGGAAGGGTAAAGCCATTTCAGATCTTCATAAAAATGGGAGACAGAGGCGTTCCTTGGATCTTGAAGATAAATCGTACAAAGCAATTCATCAAACGTTTTAATTTTGCCTTTAGATCCCCAGAGACGCCGACGTATACCATGCAGCAACAGTCAAAGTAATATATAGTGTAGATTGTTGGTTACAATAGGTTTATGTAATAGTGATTAAGTCTACATATGGCACATCCAATGTATTACAGTGTGTTTTTCAATCCTTTGTGATAAAATAATTATTTTATTTCATTTTTATTATTTATTAAGAAACTGTTGAACAAGTTCCATTTTGGTACTCCAAGGTGGCGGCCGGTTTCAAAATCACATAGAGCATGCTGTTCCCAGATTTCATATTAATGCAGAAAGTAGCCAAATATTGACAATATTTCGACGGGGTTATGAATTTTCAAAATCAAAAGTTTAAAATTAAAAGACAACTGAAAGCATGGAACAGACCGCAGTATGTGTAATTGTATATAATCTACGAATATTTAAATTCTACTTTCATCTGCACTATTTTTAAGAAGAAGAGAGGAATAAAATATCTTAGCAGGGATGGGGGGGGGGAGATGGGCACCC